ACTAACTGACAGAACGATCGGAAACCTAATCAAGATATTTCAAGGATCAATACCGTACTATCACAAATTCAAGCTGAAATCATCATTAGGATCATTCCTAATCACAATGCTATTTCTATCACTTTCCACATGATCGGACATCTCCAAATTCGTTCTTATATCACAAACTAATCATTTAATCCCCGTTAATTATTGGCCCTCGGGGTGTGAACAGTAACCGGTGAACAGTGCCGGTGAACAGTGACCCCGACGTGAACAGTAACTCCACTTCCACAAATTGGCCAAAACACTAACTAATCTCACGGGATTTTCTCCAAAAATCACACAGCAATCAATTAACACTCAATCACATAAATCTCACTTCAATTAAGCTAAATCATGGTCCTAAAGCTATCAAATTCTCCCCTAATTAATCCAGAATTTCGGACACAAAGGGCAGCAATTAAATGGCTAAAATCTGCACTTAAAGAAGCTGCCACATACCAGAATTTGCAGCTAGCAGAACCGGGCCTAGCAGGGGGGAAAAGCCGGCGGCAAGTGCAGGGGAAGCTCACGGGTTTACCCAAAAATTGGAGGAACAAGAGCAATTAAGATAAACCCAAGCTAAATCAAGCTAAAGAAGGGAGATTCATGGCTGTTTCTTACCAGAAAATCAAGACAATTCGCCCCCACAAAGCAGGAGCAGCCGGCGGTGAGGAGCAGAGCAGCAGCAGATCCGGATTTTTCCAGCAAGGGGGGAAGATTTCTGGGTTCCAAATCAGGTTCTTGGACAAGAAAAGAAGGCCAAAAACCAAGCTTTCTCACCAATTTTCCAAGGCATGGCTGGGTTCCCTTTTTTTTTTTCTTCGGGTGGCTGCAGCGGGAAGAAATGAGAAGAAGAGCAGAATCGGGCTGGAGAAGAAGAAAGAAAGAAAGAAAAAGGAGAAAAGAAAAGAAGTCATCCTTATCTAAAATCTTTCCCTCTTTAAGTCCCTCAACTTTGGACATTTCGGCTATTAAGCCCAAAACAATATTTTCTCACACAAAAACCCTTACTTAAATGCTAAAATAGCACAAAATTTTGGGGTATTACATTCTCAAACTATATCTAGACCGTTTTCGGTTCGAATATGTTGGACTTTCTTGTAACTTTTAAGAATTACTGTCCCAACCGGCTCCATTCTGAAAATATATCCACACCGGTTTCGGTCTGAATATATTGGACTTGCTTGTAACTTTTAAAACTTCCTCCCCCAACTGACGCCATTCTCAAACTATATTCAAACCGTTTTCGATCTGAATATGTTGGACTTGCTTGTAACTTTTAAAAGTTTCTCTCCCAACCAGCGTCATTCTCAAACTATATCCAGACCATTTTCGATCCGTAAATATCTTTAAAGAAAAAAAATAAAAAATAAAGAAAACATATTTATTTTATTTAATAATTACACAATATTACCAAATAATGCAAAAATAAATTTTACAATTCAAAATAAATGCA